GAGGTGAAACCACAGCTCTAAAACAAGGCTTTTGAATGTCACAACCATGAAACATGTCTTTGTGCACTAGCTGATAATGAGCTTTGGTTTACTAGGGAGAATTAGCATCTATAAACATATTCCAGATTTTCACCCCAAAATATGCTATAGAAAAAATACATTCATGGTATGATATACACAAAAAATTTCAATAACTTGAGATCAGTCATTTCACATTTACATCAAAAGCAAACAGGCCTATTGCTAGCTGACAGTTCTTTAGATGCCACCCACTATTAAACTCAGCTGTTGAAATCCAAGTCAAACTCTATTTGCAACATGAACAACTTACTGTCAGGAAGCCTGACAATAAAATTTAAATGTAAAACACTGAATGAGATGAAGCTGTGTGAATACTGGGCTAGATCCTCTCTGTTGCCCTGCATCTTCTATAGTCACCTGTGCCATTGCAAAGTGAGTGTAACACATTACCAATTCAGAATGTTAATGATTTACCCCATTTCAAGCACTTTGCACTGGTGTAAATTTTAATACACAAGGCAAGGAACAGTGGATCAGGATCAGGTCACCTGCCTATGGAAAAGGAAGATACCTTCCCATTCCACAAGATGGATGTTCCTGATGCACAATTCACTTGCCCAATCCAAACTGTGATCTAGGCACCCTGGGTGGTCCATGGAGACCTGTCTGGTGATGTGGTACTGGCTCTCCTGCTGGTTTACAGCTTCCAAATTGCATTACAAGGCAGCTAAACACATATCAAATAATTTTCTAATTTTTTTTCCCATGTAAGCAATTGCTGTAGTTGAACAGGTGACTGTGATATGTGATCACAAATTGGAAGAGGCTCACCAGACATTTTATTAACATGAGGCCCACACTAACATAAACATTTTAGCACTTCTGAATTAGATTATGTTTTTAGAATGATTTAAACATAAAAAGTGCTAAGGGGGTTGTTAACTATTGCTTGATGAATATACGCGATCAGGTCACATGAAAACTGAATTTGTTTTAATATGCCAAAATTTTAGAAGCCAAAATAAAAGTTCACTTATTGACTTTCTCTTTCCTTTTCCTGGTAAGGATATTATCCACCTACTGCCCTTCCCACATTCCCCAGAAAGCTATTGGCTAACTATGTAGTGCTCCAAATTGATATAAGTTCAAATGTTTTAAGTTGCTGTGAACTCAGCTGGCAAGCCAGCTAATGTTGTAATGCACTGTATGGTGGCATGGGTTGCTTGTCAAATGGTTTGATCCTACATTCCTTGCACAGCCCTAACTGAAGCATGGGATGAAATGCAGTTTGACATGGCCATCTTCAAACCAAACCAGTCAATATTATAAGAGGGGACGAAGAAAATGAGTGTTGGCCTTGGAAATTTTAACTCTGTAATTTAGGTATTTTAGTGGGTGCAGTTAAAAAGGCTTTCCATTTTAATCAGGAAGGGCAAAAATAAATAAAACTTTATCTACTGTATAGAGTATCAGTCACTGTAATAGATAGGCACTACATATGGTAGAATAAAAGTGGTATACGAGTATAAAATGAAGGAACTCCACTTGTATTTCTTGGGCTCAGTCATTTATACTGGGAATATTACTAATTCTTCCTCTTCATCATTCCTTTTCTTTCTTTGTTTCTCTCATCCTCCTCTTCTCTTGTTCCTTCCTTCTACATATTACCCTCATACTCAAATGTTATTCTCAGCTACCATAATGTGAGTAGGCTTGTTACATACCCCATGACCCAACACTGAAGAAACACTGACACCAGCTCTCAGTAGTTTCACCCCAGGCTTAGATAGTTTCTATCTCTCCAATGGTCTCAGAGCGTCAAGACAGAAAGGCTATCATTAAGGTAGCCCAGTTCAAGCCCATTAAAAGTTGTAGAAATCAGGATCAGGTTCCTGATTTGGACCCAGTAACATATCAATAATAACATATCATATCATAACATAATGGATACTGCATTTGGAAGACTGTGAATAAAATGGAAACTAATAGTTCTGAACGACATCAAGCACCTCAACATAAAATGGGAAGATTTGGAGAGAAGGGCAGTTGACAGGCCAGGATGGCAAATGTGGGTAGCCCAATGTGCAACAAAGCACAGGATGGACTAAGGTCTAAGGTAAGTATATGGTGAGCCAATGGAAAACTGGGTATGGGACAATATGCTTCCTGCAGCTAGTCATCCTCAAGAGGCAGGCTGCCACATATTACACCACCTGGAGTCTCTTGTTAACCTTGACTGATAGCACTAGATAAAGAAAGTTGTCATAGTCTAGGCCTGAAATGAAGAATGTATGAATCACAGTTGCTAGTCCTCTTCAGACGTATAGGCAGAATCTTCTAGTTAGCGTTAGCTGTAAGAAGACATTTCTTGTAACTGGATCTATCTGGGTCTAGGAGACACATCTAGTAGTACTCAGACTCCAACATAGACAAATTCAAGCTAGTACATTTTGGGAGAAAGACACTTGGAAAGCAGTAATTGTGAAAAATACTTAGAGATGACAGTGGATAGTTGATTAGTTTTACTTACAACGTGATATGGCATCTAAAAAGGCTCCTGCAATTTTGGCTACATACACAGAGGTGTCACATCATGAAACAGGAAGGTATGGCTTCATCACTTGAGATATTTAAAACTAGTTTAGACAAAAGCCTAGATAAATGGCACGAACATACTGCACTTGCAGTGGAATGGACTAGTCAACCTAATAGATCTTCTCCATCTCTCATTGTGATGATTCTATGAACTCAAAAGAGCTCTATTTTTCATTTTCTCACAAGTGAAAAAAATCAAACCAATTTCCTTTCATTTTAATGAGCAGTTTACATGACTCATGACTTTTGCTAGGTTTCCTAAGATTTGTCACGGTTAAAGTCTGACAATATTTGAGTGCTCATTAATTTTTGGATCCTAACAAGAAAGACCATGCCCTTTTGGAGGCATTATATCAGTTGTATTTAAAAATCTCACATAGGAAAGCTGTAGTAAGGTGATAAAACATCTTGTTATGTATTATACAGAAACATATACATTTGCATATTACATTGTCATGTGTATAAACAGTGTAAGCTATTTAAAAAGACAACACTTCCCACCTGGTTACCACAGTTATTTCCTCTTAAAGTATAGGTGGATAAATTGTGATAATCTCACACCTCATTTTCTAATAACTTCTGGCAAATGCTGACTTTTTTAATGGAAACCACTGTTTCTCTTGACCCCTGAGTAGTCTCAAAAAGTATTCTAGATAACCACTTCTAGCGTAAATCACATGCAGCATCTAAACTATGTGCAGCAGAGCCTTGCATGCATAGCATTTGCCTGTCAAAATACCAACAGAACATTTGTTCTTCAAAGTAAACTTGCAAATGCCTCAGATATACAGGTATCACGGCTAAGCAGAGAAGTGAAAGAGTCAATAGCATCAGTCAGAGAGGATGCTCCTCCTATGTTCTTCTTGCCCCTCCCCATTTCCCTTATCCTCCTTACTATGGTTTGTCATTTCTGTGACTTCCAATGGCAAGAGGTTTGTGTCTAATAACTATTCGTGTTCACATTGTGTTAAACACTCTGCCACTGGGAACCTAGCACCTTTGCAAATCCAGCTACTGATTTAGTGCCTAAATATGGATTTAGAAACCAAACCTTGTCCTCTGTTTTGAAAATCTTGTCCTCACTGATCCATCGTGCAGAAAGTTCCCATTGATAAATTACCTGGGATGTACAGCAGCAGCTTTTCTGTATAGAATATCTGCTATTTAATCATTTTGCCTTAATAAATAAAATGAAATAAATAATAAATAATAATACTAATTATAACAGTAAAGGTTACTGTTACACATTTCAGAGATGGGCAGCTACTGAGTCTAGTGGCAATGACAGGGGACGAGGAAACATGTCCACCGGGATTCTATGCCTTGCTCTGCCACTGAGCCAGTGTGTGACTTTGAACAAAATCCTTTTGTGTCTCATTTTTCCCCTCATCCGTAAATGGAAAAAACGCAATGGTTGCTGTGAGGTTTAATTAATTAATGTTCATACTGTGATCAAAGGCAAAGTACTTCAGATGGGATGTAATCAAGGTTCTGCACACCTACGATCACTACTACATCGGATGGTATTGTTCACAAGAGAAAGTGTGCTAGCTTTGGTGGCTTTGCCAAATTCCAACTCATCTGAATATGTTTGCCTCTCTGCATTCTCTCCCTGCATGGTCAATATTTTTCTTGCCCTAAACTGATCCATAGCTTTTGCTTGTGCACTGTAAAACAGCTGCTGTGTTCCACTCCAGTGGAGGTTACGCTTCAGTGGTGACTAAAGCAATCCCTACAACATCTACTTCTCACCTAACTCACAGATGTGAGGATTAATTTTATATTTGTCAAATGCTTTGAGATATTTGGAAGAAATATTTTAAAGCCTTGCAAAACATTGCTGGGGATGAAGCCGCAGCCTTTACACATGGAAAATTGCCATCTATTTTAGTTGCCAGATCACTGGTCTTATTATTTTATTTTATTATGGCCTTCCAAATTAAAGCTAGAAACAATCTTTTTTTTAATCATAAAGAGCACAAACCAGGCTGAATCCATTCATTTCTTATTTTCCACAATCTCTATTTTAAAAGTGAATCCTTAAGAACAAAGACTTTGTTGAAATTCTCTTTTGGGCTTAGAGCTTATATGGTATTTGGAACAAATATATCAGAGTTACAGACGCTTAAAGATAGGGGCTTTATGCTGTAAACATAGGTACCACTTTATCTTATATTATGGCAGGTGGCATCCATCACTGGTATGGTAAACATTATATCCACAGCAATCCTAGAATTTAAAATGTCCAGTTTGCACTCAGACTCATCATGGATTTATTCTTGCAGAAGCAAAGATTTGTATTACCTGCTTACATAATAATGCTATGATGGGTCTGTTCCAGTCTGAATCTCTGAAACAGACTCAAGTTTATGCAAATTACTCACCTGCCTCATAACTCCACTTAGGAACTTGAATGGACAATTTGATGTCATTGCCAGTACACTGTTTATCAGAATTATCTTCTTTTTGCTTTGTGACTATTAAAGTATTAATTCCTTTGGCTGTATCCACAAATGCTGGACATTCAGAGGGAGATGTACCTTTCCAAGGGCATGTGGTACCCAAATATTCCTTTTCTGCTGTCTGTTTTTTATCTACATTATTTTCTTTTAAATCTGCATTTGAATTTGCTCTGAGTGGAGTCTTGTTTTCTTCTGGGAGCTTTGTTTTAAGTATCTCTGCTATTGACTCTCCATTAGCTATGCCATCTGCTCCATCTGGTGTTAATCTGGGTGAACTGCAATTTATATTGAAGGACAATATTGATCTATGAATTTTTTGGCTTTTAATTTGAAGTTGGTCAATACATACAGAAAGTGACTTGTTGAAGTAATAGATTGTATTTGGACAATCCTGGGAAATTTTGAAGTGAACAGATGAAGTGAATGAAACTGGTGCTTTTTTCCTGTGATTGCTGCCTGGAGGAAATATTCTGTTTTCTTTGTTTTCAATGTTAAAAATCCAGTCTCCGTGCCCTTCACATACTTGTGAATAAGATTCAGAAACCTTTAATCTGGTGGCATATCGGTTTATATAAGATTCTTGATTATGCAAAGGTTTGCAGTGCTGAGCTCGTCCTGCATTGTTTGAAGTAGCAGTAGTGTTCATTAGTACATCACCTCCCCAGCATTTCAAATACAGAGAATCAGTAACAGCTATTTGCACTGGGTTGTTAAAAGGTGGAACAACCCGTCTAGTGGTAACTGTTATGGATGTGAATCCTTTTTTACGAGAGTTTGTTCTAGATACGTTGTCATCGAAAGATGCCTGAATTCCTAATCTGCTGGAAAGTAACATGAATGCTCTATTAATGTTGACTGAACTATGATTAGCCAGAGATTGCTTCGTATGATAAGCATTAGGCTGAGTGATCACAGACTGCATCGGCAAAGCAGACCCATTTTCTTTTGATTTAGTCTCATCAATCAACTGTGAAATGACTATGGATGAAATCATTTTTGTGTTTTGTGATGCCACAGACTCCTGCAAATGAAAAAGACCCATATTATTAAAATATTCTATTGTCAAACATACAACTATTTCTCCTTCAGAGTCTATAATAGGGTTTGGTCAAGGTTTCTTGTTAAATTTCTTTTTAACAAAATTTCAGTTTGCTTTCTGTCATTTCAAAGACATGTTCGTAAAATCAATTCAGAATTGTCTAGAAAAGTTCAGCAAAAATTGGATCCATTTTACGCAAAAATTAAACATTCGGAAACCATTAGTGTGAATGATTAACTAATTCTCTCAGTTGGAGTATCTGGTCCTATGTTTGTCTAACAATATATGTGTCAATGGTGATTGTCAATTTCAGATAATAACCTGCTCTTTCATGCTGATCTACTGAAATATTAAAAGTGCTTTAAGCACTTACTACCTGTACAAAATGAACAACGTAGGTGTATTGTGATTTTCTGTGGAGTGTTTATGTGGGAGTTGGGTCAGTGCTGCTGCACAAAAGCATCAAATATGACCAAGGGGGAAACTCCTCCATGTTCTCTCCAATAAAAGATATGCACAGATTTCTGTAAGTGCTTTGGATACCATTTAATTCACGAGCTTAACATTTGCTGGATGCACAAAATGACAGGGTAAGGAGGCATTTGCCCAAGATTGATTGACAGCAGTCCAGACTCATTTTTCTAACCACAACAATCACCATCTATCTTAACATAATGTACCTGATGTCCTTAGATGTGACAAAGAGTGTGGTATTGTATTAAGATTTATCTGATAAATGTAAGCATGAAGTTTAACTCTACCTACAATTATTATCTAGATGACTGGTTACACAATGTTTATTTCATGCAGCGTATATGGCCCAAATTCTCTGCTGCTGTGAATTGTTACATCTCCACTGAGGTCAATATTAGCTGCATCAATTTATACCAGCAGGGAATTTGGCCGTATGATCTGAGCATCCTCAGTCCTCACTTAGTCAAAGTTCACACTGAGTCACAAAGTAAATTCTACATGATTGGGACCATGGTGAATTCTCATCTGAATGACTCATTTTTTTATTTAAGTGGTTTATGGGAGATATTTTATTGCTCATGAAGTTAGCCAGATTGATAGCCCTGGAAACTCAACTGAAAGTGATACCACTGTCAACCACCATCCAAACTTCTCTAAAACAGTTTCACTAGTACACCTCAACCTTGTTCTTGAGGGACAATCTTTTGGGGTAAGCAGGATTTCTTTATTTCCCTTCTGTCCTTAATTTTTCTGCGGTGTGTGCTATTCAGGCAGCCAACTGAGGTGATGGGTTGTGTGATGTAAACACATGTCTACCAGGAACTATGCTGAAGTATAAATCCATGGCATGTATGGCACCAAACAATTGGTCAAAATCACTGATCATTACAAATATGGCTAACGGCAATCCTGTGACCATTAAGTCAAAGGCTCCATAGCCCATTACCCAATCCCCTCATCTTACCCAAGCCAGCCATCATCTCAGAGTTACAAACACCAGAGTTTTACAAACTGACCGGTCAACCACACACCTCATTTGGAACCAGAAATATACAAACAGGCAACAGCTGAGATGCCCCCCACCAAAAAAGGCAAATACAGTCAGGTACTGTGTTCAAGTTAAACTACTAAAGAAATGAAGGGAAATATTAAGAAAAAATATTTGACAAGGTTTGACAGAAAACTATTTCTGTGCTTGTTTAATTTAAATTAAGAGGGTTAAAAGCAGCATTTTTTTCTTCTGCATAGTAAAGTTTCAAAGCTGTATTAAGTCAATGTTCAGTTATAAACTTTTGAAAGAACAACCATTACATTTTGTTCAGAGTTATGAACAACCTCCATTCCTGAGGTGTTCATAACTCTGAAGCTCTACTGCAATTGTATATTCAGAGACACACAGCTATTATCTGACTTGAACATGAGAGTATTCAGGATGTACATTTGCACATAGTTAGATAAATATATATTCAGATATACACACCAAAATGTTCAATTTAGATAACCACAGTTATGAATATCTGGAGTAAAGTACAGGACATCTTTATATATTAGAAAATGCACAGTCGTTTAATACACATTTTGTTTATATTACAAAAATAAAACACCCATATAGTTTGACTTCATAGCCACAAAATGCTACTCTAATTTCCCTCAATTTATGAGAACCATCCCTGTGTATTTGTAATTGTACCAGGTATTAGATGACACATTACACACAGAAGGTCACAAGGTTCTGCTAAATCATAAGTAGGGACAGGACTATGGCAGAAATTTATGGCCTTCTTAAAGTCTTTGCTGAGGCTACTTGCTCTTATCAGATTGGTCATAACAAGAAAGGGGAAAGGTGGCTTGCTCACCTGCTTACAAAGATCATCTGCCCCCATCCCTCCCATCATAGCCAAGCTGCAAGTAACAACAAGTGTAGTAAGCTTTGGTATCCAGTTAATTATGCAAAGCTTTGGAATTTGTTAGGTAGATGAGGAGAATATGAATATAAAGGGGATGATGAAAGATGGAAGAATGTTTTATTTTTTTAGAAGGACTGTGTGTTTGCATGAGTTTAGGTGGTATTCAATACTCTATTCTTATACCACACCTGTCACAATGGTATTTGAGCACCCAAGACTTCAATGATAAAACAATCATTTTATATAAATATTGACTACTTTGGACAGCAACCACTGTAAAATATAGCCTGAGAGGGAGAAAATATTCTCCTGAGGTTTAATATTTTTCTTGAAGGCTGACAGCAATCTATTCCATCCAAGTGAACTATGTTCACTTCAGAAATTTGTTTATTTCTCTTGTTTCTGGCCCTGGAGTCAAGTTGTACTTGCTTTGCTATTTCTGTTGAAATTTTCCCTGTGTCATCTCAGACCCTCCACACTTCTAAACTCCTTCTCTCCTGTCTCTCTCCCTCCACACTTCTAAACTCCTTCTCTTGACATTATTATTTATTTCTACGACAGTAGCACCAGCTCCAGAGCCTCATACCAGAGCACTGAAATCTCAGGTGATCACAGGGCCTCCTGCTGTTAGTGTTCTGAGATGGGAGGCTCAGAGTGATAAGTCTGAGGTCCATGGGGTATCTCCTGTGGAGGAATCCATGTTGAAGACCATCACACTCTGTGCAAACTACTCCCCTGTTTACTCTGGTATTGCCATAACAGGAAAATAGCACAGAATACTGTCTTTTAAATAATCCTCAGATTAAGGTTTCAGGAAAGTAGATTTTTGGGACTTAAACAGCAGATCAAATCCAGAGAAATTTTCCCTGTCTTCTAAACTAACTGTTTGTGACTCTGACAATTCAATATCTTCCCAGCTCCAGGGAATGTGTTTTTTCCCTTCCCTAATTTTTTTCCATGGCTTGAATAATATTTTCTTCATATTGTATTGTACTACATTTACCTCAACCTGCATCTTTAAGACCTTTGCATGGCTTCCAATCTTCTCAATCTCCCTTCGATTTTTACAGATCAATAAGGATAAATGTTCTTTGAAATGCATTATTTTGTATATCTCTCATGTGCTCCAGCAATTAACATGAAAATTACTTAATTTCTTTTGTTAAGTACAAAACTGATGGAAATCGCACATAATGGTCCAAATGCAAGTCAGAAATGCTTCTGATTAGTTTCAGCTCATGTAACAGTATTTTGAATGAGTAAATTATAAAAATAAATAGCAAATAATGTCTCCTCCCAATGTTCTGAAATGGTAATGAGTCTCTCTGAGCTGGCCCTACATTCTTTTGGGAGTTTCCAAGCTTCATAGTCTTAATGCAAAAGGAAAGAGAATTCTGGTGAATTGCAAATCCATGGCTTTATTTTCAGGGGATCAGAGGATGGCACATTGCTTAGCTCACTTGTATCGTTGGTTGAGCCTGCCTGGGATATTTCTCAAAAACTTACTTTTCTCCAAAATATGCCTTTTATTTTTCTTCAGCAAGAATATAGATAAAAAGATGAATTACATCTACTGCAAACAGAATCATGACCACTTAGCCATCACTTTATTTGGTGTTTCTGTTGCCTAAGTTGAGTGTGACTAAAAAAAAACAACTGTAAACACACTATATGGAGACAGGGTGATCATTTTTTAAACCTGAATGAATTCTGCTGACTACTATGAAAGCTCAATGGTGGGATTTTTTTTGTTTTTACCTTAGTGGAGTCCGAATCTCTCTCTGCAGCATTGTCGTGCTGATGGCTTTTGAATTCTTTTGGATCGTTAGCACCACACTGTTTTTCTCTGATTCCTGGGGGGAGGAAAGAAGGTAGAAACGTTACTGTCAACTACATGATGGTAGAGCTAAAATGGGGTATAAAACCGAGTATAAATATAAGGCAAAAGGGTATTACTAACTGATTCTGAATGGTCTGGGATCCACTTATCTGAGAGATCACATTTCCCTGTTTCCAGTGGTTGCACTTTAAACCACACTGTGAGGCTGCTCCCAGGATTGGTTCCAGGACAGTCTCACACTGTACTGAGGCCTGATCAAAAGTCCATGGAAGACAATGGAAGGTTTCCCATTGTTTTGGAGTACAGGCCTTCACAAATTGACTGTCTTTTGCAGCCTACAGAGTCTGAGACTAGTGTCTGATACAAGACATTATGGACCTTGTTTTTATTTCAACTAAGAACATTATAAACTACCCTGGCAGTGCAAAGGGGCCTTAAACTGGTCATAAATCACATTAGTAAATATCAGTATATTTATCTGGTCTAACTTTTGTTTATTTTGTTTGGTTGTTGGTTTGAGGGGTTTTTTAGTTTTCTGGGTAGCATGGTGTCTGGGATTGCTGTAACTGGGCATTCTTTAACACCACACCTTGTGATTCATTTTACATAAATTACGTTTCTTTGCTTCTCAGTGCTCATTTGAAAATGTAATCTGTAAAGTAATAAAATAAGTATTTAAATGGCATAAAATTCCTTCACTCCTCTGCCCAACCAACTCTACAGTAAAAATTTGTCGGAACATAGACTTTAGTTTTCGCAACACACTGCACAAGGCTGCAGTTTTTACTACATGTAATTTCATTTTACATACATTGTTGTATTAGCAGAGGAATAGAAGTCAGATCCTCTTACTGTAGAAACTGCTTATTAAACCTCATCTGCAATAGCAGGTTTGATTCCTTCCCACTGGTGCAGAGTTCAGGGGTGGGGGTACTGTTTGACTCCATCTGCTTCAGTGAGACCTGCTCTTCTGAGAGTTCCATTGTGGAAAGGCAGCTGCAAGTTGCAGCTGGGGCTCTAGGCCCTAGGAGGCCTGCTAGCAGAGGCTGCCCAGAAGGATTCAGTGATAAAGAATATCTCTTGGAGTGCCCCTAGTTCACTTTGAGAGCAGTGCTGACTGGCTGCAGACCTCTTCGCACTGCTTCTTATGGGCACAGTTTCCACCACGGGGGCTCGGCTGACATCACTCTGTGGTGGATCAATCTCACTATGTACAGAACTAGTCACCATATTAAAAGAAGTCTGTTGTTGCCATGGAAAGTGCACAGTCATGGAGCCACAGAGAAGATACCAAGGCTGAAGAATCCAGCAATGAGGAGGGGGATGAAGGGAGTCAGGAAGGAGTGGGTTTGATGGGAGCCAACGGAAGTTCTTGCAAAGGTGAAAGACAGAGGTCATGGAGTCATGTTTTACACCAGTAAAAGCTCCAAGAAGTAGGGTATAAATAGGCAGAGAACTGAGGATTGATGTTTGGAATAAGATTCTTTCAGAATTACTTAGCAACACAGGATTCCTGGTGACAAATTAACCCTTCTCAGGTGCCACATAAATAGTAATAACGGCTTCATTCCACCACTAATGAATGCTCTGGAGCTGCCACTTCCTTGGTGTAAAACACCCGGAGCTGCTGGCACGGAAGTGACTAGGAGGGGTCCTCAGCTTTGAAACTCCCCTTTGTCTGAAAGAGGCCAAACAAATCTGCTGACCTGCAGAGGAAGCTGCAAAACCTACAGATGTCCACAACTGTTTGGGAAAGGGGTAGTACAATGTGGGTTGGTGTTTATAGGGAGAAAGGGGTGCTTCCAGTGATAAATTAAATGTGGATATTTCAATGAAGAGAGACTGTTGCATGTGTTCATTTACTTGTATTATTTGTCAAATGTGACTCTCCTCTGTGCTTTTTAAATATTAATTTTAATAAATAAATGTGGGATAAGTGGCCAAGGTAGGTCATGAAAGCAAAATGTAAGAATTAGTTCAGGAGAAAATCAGAGGTTTGCCAAATGCAATGGTAGTAACTGAAAAGTCATTAACCTACAGTTTTCAGTTGTTTCCTATTATAAGTAAAGTGGGAAAACTGCAGTTCTCTCAGATAGCTCTGTGAGGCAACTGTGGGTAAATACTGACTTTTTAATGCTAATCACAGCGTATAAGGAAAGCTGGAAGGCTGGATAAAGATAAACCAAAACTGAGCAAGCATGCTGTACCAGATGTTTTTTTTTCCCCTGTGTTTCTCTCAGATGACTTGTATTCAAAGTCCAAGAGAAAGAAGAAACACTACAAGGTCAAACAAGGATAAGATGTCAAAGTCTACAGAGAAATATGTAAGATGTAAATTACTGCTTTCAAGGTAACCTCTCCTAGCGTATGTTTTCACAGCAAAAAAACATGTGTCCTCAACTTAACTTAGCTAATTCAAGTCCAGCCCTAGGCTCACTTGCAGGCTTTAACTTGAGCTGCTAACCCAAGTTCCCATGTCTTCCCTGATATTTTAACTTGAGTCAGCTAACCTGAATTAAATACACCCCTTTTTTTCCACAGTGAAAACATATCCATAGACAGCTGTGGCTACAGTCCACAGATTCAACCTCTTCACTCCACACAGATCTCCTTGGTGTAAGTTTGTTCAGCCATTTTGTAGTCGGAGAAAGTTAGAAGAGAAGTGGGAAGTGAATGTTTCTCCTGTCTGCTAAAACATTCAGTTTGTTTTTTTGCATAGTATCCTGGGTAATGACAGTCATATGCTACCATGGGAATCCCAGTGTTGGCAGATATTTTTGGCAAACAATTTAACAATTGCTGTAATGGATTAATAAAAGTAGTGAATAAACCTCCACCAACTTCCCTGCTATTATTCAAATACCTATTCTTGGAAGCCTCACGTTTGTTAATTCATGTGAACAGTAAAAACACCAATACTGACCTTATGAAAAGAGCTTGAAGCTCCTCATTTAAAATGAGGACACTGCATGAAATAATAGCAGCTTAGATTAGAAGTAAATGTCAGGCTCAGAGCACCCATACAGGTTCTTGTTGCTGACAAAGTGCTTTGTGCTATAACAATTATCTTTCAACAAAATATAAAGTTCAATATTTCCCTGACACACAGCTATGGGAGTCATGGCATTTCAAGTACTTCCTATCAGTGTGGGGAGAAAAGAAAGCTTGTTCCTGCCTGATATGAAGTCCTGAGGAGTTCTGTTTTATCCTATTCCATTTGTAACCCATTTTCACAGACCCTGTCTTTAAGGCTGAGGAAGACTTTTCTGGTCCCTCAGTACTTCCAACAGTATCCTCAGGCTCTGTAGATGGCTGCATGCTGAATGTACAGTCCAGTTCGTGAAAATGGGGGAGGCAGCTGTTGGCATCCTATCCCTTGCTATCTAAATTGCACCTTTAGCCCTTTTATTTTCTCACAGCCCTGTTTGTGGGCCAAATGATACACTCCTTGGTATCTGGACACCAGAGCACACACAGCCTGTGGTGTTCATAATTACAGAGTGGAGCTGGAACTGAATCTTCAACTCACAAATGCCTGGATATCTGCCTTGGGCCAACTGGCAGCACACTCAGGTGATGTCTGAAACTGGCTTGTTAAAACACAGAGATTACAAAGATGGGTATGCTGGTGAGAAACAGTATGTTATGAACCTAAGGTGTACACAGCACAATTTGTATAGGAAGGGACTCTGTAGAAAGCTTGATAGAAACTCAACCAGACAGGCCACCGTTGCAACTATGCCACCAGAACTTCTGGTCTTGGCTGGCACTACACTTGTGTAAATGGGCATGCTGCAGAATGACATGGTGTCATAAATATAAAGGGAAGGGTAACCACCTTTCTGTATACAGTGCATAAAATCCCTCCTGGCCAGAGGCAAAATCCTTTCACCTGTAAAGGGTTAAGAAGCTAAGGTAACCCTTCTGGCACCTGACCCAAAATGGTTAATGAGAAGACAAGATTCTTTCAAATCTGGATAGGGGGTGGGGGACAAAGGGTTTGGTCTGTCTGTGTGACGCTTTTGCCAGGAACAGATCAGGAATGCAGCCTTACAACTCCTGTAAAGTTAGTAAGTAATCTAGCTAGAAAATGCGTTAGATTTTCTTTTGTTTAATGGCTGGTAAAATAAGCTGTGCTGGATGGAATGTATATTCCTGTTTTTGTGTCTTTTGTAACTGAAGGTTTTGCCTAGACGGATTCTCTATATTTTGAATCTGATTATCCTGTAAGGTATTTACCATCCTGATTTTACAGAGGTGATTCTTTTACCTTTTCTTTAATTAAAATTCTTCTTTTAGGAACTTGATTGATTTTTCATTGTTCTTAGGATCCAAGGGTTTGGGTCTGTGTTCACCTGTACAAATTGGTGAGGATTCTTATCAAGCCTTTCCCAGGAAAAGGGGTGTAGGGCTTGGGGGGATATTTTGGGGGAAGACGTCTCCAAGTGGGCTCTTTCCCTGTTCTTTGTTTAAAACGCTTGGTGGTGGCAGCATACAGTTCAAGGACAAGGCAAAGTTTGTACCTTGGGGAAGTTTTTAACCTAAGCTGGTAAGAATAAGCTTAGGGGGTCTTTCATGCAGGTCCCCACATCTGTACCCTAGAATTCAGAGTGGAGAAGGAACCTTGACACATGGTATACCTCGCTCAGAGCAAGTGCAGTCAAAGCAGTGGGGTGAATGCCTGTCATTGGAAGAAATTGTGTGTGGGGGCACCAAAAGGCATTTAGCACCCTATTTTTAGTAGTGCAAGTTGCACACTTTCATTCAGGTGACAACATTAATCTCTTTTGACAACTTTCAAACTTACTTCCCCACTACCCTCTGATCTCTTCCTCTCTCTTCAAACTCCCATCCATGCTATCACTCTGTGGGCACCTCTTCATGTCATGACACAGTGTTGCATGGGTTCTTCCTCTCTAGCTCCCCACTGTAGGTAGTTTGCCTTTACGTGCCACTCAGCCCTCCGGCTGACAAGCGATTAGTTAACAAAATGTTCAATGTAGTCCAAAGTCC